TCTCTCTCTCTCTCTCTCTCTCTCTCTCTCTCTCTCTCTCTCTCTCTCTCTCATTTTTTTTCTTTCTTATATAATTACCAAACTGTTACATCTTCAGCCCCTCTAACGCGAGAGAACACACCTATTATTTCGTAAACCGTTAATTGTATAGTACGAGAAATATCGCGTGAGAGTTTTTCTCAACGTCTATTTGCCATACGTAAGACACATTATCTTCCTTGGACAACGACTCTTTTTTTTTTTTTCTAAACAAATGTCTTAGTCGTTTTCGTTCACACACTCGTTACCGAATTATGTACAATATACACAATACTCTCTTTTGCATCTTTACAAAGCGCATTCTACCGTGTAATTTACAATCGAAATGACAAATTTTTCGAGAATCGAGCAATATTGAGTCAAGAGAGCAGGGTGGGCGTTTTACGTGAATGCGTACGAGTGTGTACGTAACAATCATATATGTAGGTATGCGGTAAATATTGCTTTTTGTACATTGCATTGTGGTATACACATGTACAAGTAACTTATAGTCTACGCTCTTTATTCTTCACGTAACACTTCGCTGACCGTTTTTCGAAGAGGGAAAGGCAATAAAGCAGCGATTCGTGAAGATAATGCGCGAATGTATGTATGTATGTTCTTTTTAAGGGCGGCGATAGTATCTTTCTTCATTCCTAAACGCAATTTCAAGTCGACTAACTCATTGTCATCAAACATATGCCATCTCCATGTACTTTAACATTAAATTGACCTTTTGTATAAAAAAAATATTAATAATATTACGTTTACTTTTGCAAAGTTCTATTAGGACTTTAAAGTATGGATTCTTTCTGATTACATGAACATTGCACTTTTGAAAAAAAAAAAGAAGTAGCTAAGAAGGAACCGATAGGAATTCATTCTGCGAGAATGAATTAAATTCCACATCTTCGAAATAGGAATTATTTTAGAAAATACTTTACACTCTTTAGAGAAGTCTACATTCCTTTACAGTGACGTCATTAAGTGTTCATAAAACACGATTTATAAAAGTATACAAATTTTATCACTGTATACGTTTCAATAATATCGTGTGTAGCAAAAAACGCAAGAAAAAATGATTAAAAATTTTTTAATTTCTATTTCAAAGCTCGTGAAGATTCATAGGCATTACCCAGAATGAATTTTGTTTAGTTTTTAATATATAAATAAAATTAATATAATTTACTAGGAATTTTATTTTTGTCAGAGATTCTCTCTGTGTTGGCTAAATCATACATACATTGTGGCAGAATGTTTACGGCAAAAATTTTGTAAAGACGATTATCGAAACGAGCATCCTCCATAAAAATAAAAAAAAAATCAATTTAATATTGATGACGTATTGATGATGTACTAGAAAAATATAGGCATAATATATTTGTCTTTACGTATATGTGTGTTTCGATTCTATGTATATTATATATATATTTATTTCATGTATTTATTTGTGTAAATCTTTAAATCTCTTCGGCTTTGTAAGTTGCATCCACGTATAAAAGTCTTATTGGATTCTAATGGATATATATATTATACATAACATACATATGTATATGATATTGAGTGAGCTTTTAACTCATCCATGTAATTTTTTTGCGTAAAAGATGCATTTACGTCATGATTATCCATCGATGAATTAAAAAACTGGCCCATTGTGTGTGTGTGTGTTTGTGTAGATTTATGTGTATCTATAAAGATATACACATGCATAAAAATAATGAAATCTTATGCGTTTCATTGCCAACTCTTTATGGAATCCTTTCACGATTGAGACTGTGTGAAATTTACTGCCAGTGCTGAAAATCTACAGTTTACATTACGTACTACAGATTTTCAGTATTGGCAGTCAATTTTGAAACACAATTTATGTAGGTTGTGAGGGAAAGTCCAGGGGAGAGGTGAGGGAAGAGCGAAGATTTACAATGTAATCAATGCATATATTGCATTTGTATAGAGCCATCACAAAATGACAGAAGTTGTTTAACCACAGCCACCCTGATAAGATATAATACTATTAAAGACGGAATGTGACTATTAAAATTTAAATGATTAAGAGTAAAAAAAACTAATAATGTAATACTAATTTTATAATTTATTATTTTCATTGATACGTATATTTGTTTAAAAAACTCAATAATATCAGATTTTTATTTAAAACTGTGGTTTTAATGTTATCGTCTGAGAGTTTAATTATCAATAGAGACGATAACTCTTTTTGTTTATAGCTATAATAGAGAAAAAAAATTTTAATTTTGCGACATTATAATAAGATATTATAATATTTCAAATATGCATACTTATTTATATGCAACATTTATATAATAAAGAATCATGAATTTAACAACACATATTATCCACAAATGTATATTTATGTTAATAATTGCAAATTTATATCAATTGTCGATAATATCATCGTTCTTCAATTATCGCCGGATTTCTCTGGCTCCATTGATAATAACGAAAATTTATCCAGAGTCGACTGTCTTTAATAGTACGAGTATAGCGGGAAGCCCAGCTAGACGCTTTCATAATGCATAACGCATAAGAAAATGAGAATCAATTAAACTCTTTTATTTCCTTCCCATGAAATCGTGGACTCGGTTGATTTTTTGTGCCTTATGCGTTATGCAGGACCACCGTATAGACATTATGAGTTTTCTATACAATAAGCCATGCAGTACCTAATCTTTAAATTTATAAGGATATATCAATACAAACTTACATAGTCGTATAAACGTATACATAAAAAAATTATTCAATCGTATTTCTATCATAAGAACGTAAAATGCGATTGAATAATTTTCTTTATGCATGTGTTTATGCGGTTATGCAAGTTTGTATGGATGTACCCTAAGTCATAAAAAATTGATTCTTTTCATATTTGACTGTGATTGATTAATTTCTTATGGCTGTGTTGTGCTTCCCGCTTATCTTGTCGGTGCGATAGCATAAAGTCACTGGACCAATGAGCATGTTAGGTCTACCATTTTTTATTCCTATACTAGACTGCACTAGCACTTTTTTTTGTCAAGTATTAAATATATACCGATCTCACTTTAAGTTCCAAAAGTGTACACTAATTCAGCCACAAAAAACAAATCCTTTATGTAATTAATATGGCGTTAATATAACATTTTTATGTTATTGGATATAGACCGCTCATTGGTCCAATAATTTTGAGGCTTTTGCGCGTAAAAAAATTCAAGACGTAAGACTTAAGTATAATAGTAAGGAAGTCAACATGTTGAATTCGCTACTGCTCACGTTATAATCCAACGGTCTTTACTGTGGTTGGTCTATTCACTTATTGCAGCTTAAATTTTGTCTTAAATTTTTCTATATGCCACGACCCTTACGCTATCCTTACGCAGCTTATGTCATTTTGTATGTGATGGGCTATACATGTACAATACGTATGTATAAAGAAAATTAATCCAAGCACATTTTACGTGCGTCTTTATAAGAGAAATACGATTGAATAATTTTTTTTATGCATATGTTTATGCAGCTATGCAAATTGTGTGGATATGTCCTTACACGGACATCCTCAATCAGATTTAATAACATCTGTAGTCATGAAACTGGCCAATCGTATAGCTGTTCTTCTGAAGAATGGCTATGCAAATATCCCTTATCTTACTCGAAGATGTATGCGTATATGTATATCGGGACATATTTATTAATATACTCCGATATGCGTAGTTCGAGTAGGCGAGAAAACATTTGTGTCTCCATATGTGTGTGACATAATCACAAAATAAAAATATGCGATTATTTTTGCAATGATACATTTTGATCTTCAATAAATCGCATGATTCTCGATACATAGACTGATATTCATAGTCGAAACTTATATATTTCAAGACCGTCAGTAATTGTCTTATAGGCTTTCTATAATAAACCATAGGATCTTAGCAGAATAGGGGTGACTTATAATTTTAAGGTAATTTCTAAAACAGCGTCTACAATGAGATTTTAAGGCGTAAATCTTATTATCATGCATAAAACGGAACGTATCCTTTGTAGGTAATGATTTCTTGTAGAAAGTCTATTAAGGACGAAAACGCACAATCTTGCATAATGCATAATGCATAAGAAAATGAACCAATCAAAGTCCTTCATTTCCTTCCGTTCCATGAAATAAAAGACTTTTATTATGATTGATTTTCTTATGCCTTATGCATTATGCAAAAATCTGTGCTCTTGTCCTAAAGCCGATCACACGTGAAACAACATAAGCTGCATCAGCATAATTCGTTCTTGTTTCAAAATTATCTTAATACCTAAAACGACTCTGTTGATTATTTCTGTCATGTTAAAACTGTCTTAAATATAAGAATTAACTATGAACACCATGGCCATAGTACTTTTTTTTATGTTATTATATTTGATGAAACAATTGATTAATCATAAAAATATCTATCT